CACACACACAAGGATACGCATGCATGCACTCGTGCGCGCGCGCGCGCGCGCACACACACACACACACACACACACACGTACACCGTGAACGTGGAACGATCTCAATCATCTGCCGTGACTCCTGTGTGTGCGAGACCGGAATTTAAACATGACGTTCTGATGGAATTGCTATGATATCACATCGGGGCCCGTTGCACTCGCCGAGCTGGTGTTCGATCCGGAAAACGGCAGAAGGACAAAACAGGAGTGCATGATGCAAACGTCCACCGATGCGCGGTTGCGAGAAGGTTGTCTCTGTCGTTTTGACAATTAACGCCACACCTAAGTCACGCGATTTATTTATCACACAAATCTACGAGCGCGCACACATCCCGAGACGTAGGTAACAGAAGAAAGTCTTCTTTTCCTTCCTTGAGATACCTTGAGATCCCGCGTGCACGAGGATAGTTCGGGTGGTTTGGCTGTGATCATCTGTAATTTTGCCCTGCTGTCGTACACGACTCCGGGGCATTGACACAGGTGTTTAGAGACGTTTTGACTTCCTGGACTTCCTCTCGAATTCGAATAGGAAGGCGAAGTATCCTGGGCGAGTCACACGTCTCTCATGAGAGATTCCTTCACGCAGCACTGAGCAGGTCTACGCTTAGAGCGTGCTGCGACATAAAGTTGTATTCATGCCTTTTTGTCTGAGAGGTAACGTAGCTCGCAAAATGGAAGAATATTCTGTCGCGTCGGACGTGTCGGTGGTGGACGTCTACGACATTGCCTCGGAAATAGGAAAGGAATGTGAGAAGCTCATAGATCTGTTTGGCGTGGAATCGGTGACCAATCTGATGCCAAAGGTGATAAACGCTTTAGAGCTGCTCGAGAATCTCGCCACCAAGAACGAGCGTGAGAATACCATGGTGCAGGAGTTGAGTGCCAAGATCTCTCAGCTCGAGAGTGACAAGATTGGAAAGGCTGAGGATAGACAACGATTTGAAAAGGTACCTAGATACGTTTTAACATTTTTGTCATACCTTATAACAGTGATTTTGATGTGCTCTGCGTAATTCACAATCATAATAGTAAATTTATTTGTTGCTAAATGTCTGTGATTTTCCTAGGAACTGGAGCAAATTGAAGAACATTGGAGGCAAGAGTCCCGCGATTTAGTAGCCATGGTTACTAGATTACAAGAAGAAAATAGACGATTAGCCGAAGCTCTACAAGAATCACGTAGTGATAGTCAGTACAGCAGTAAACAAACAAGTACTAACACCAATTAACCCCTATACTAATTTAATAATTATAAAAAGGTTTTGTCAAACATATATAAATGTACGTTTGACAAAACGATATGTAAGTTAGCAAACAGACAAATGACCGTTTGTCTTAATTTTTAGCTATCACAGCTAGTCAGGAGGTTGATGTAGCAGTTTTGCAACATCTAAGGTCTATGATAGATAAACAACGAGAACAGATTCGTGCTAGGGACCGAGAATTATCACAAAAGACTGCAGAGATTGAAAATGTAAATTGGTACTTATATGTATATGCCCAACTTAGTTGCAATTTTCGATTTAGATGTTAGATATATTTTTACTTTTATTCCAAATATTTTGGTTATTAAATATTTCAGGAGGTATTTTCATAAAAGATGAAAGAATAGAATATTTTAGAAATGTTTTATATAGAAGAAACAAATTTTTTGTAAATTTGGGAGTTTTCCTTTGTTTTTGCTAACTTACACTTTTATCACATTAACTGTCAATTTGGATATCAATTGTCACTTTTCTATTTACGTATACTTGGCTCCAAACCACTATAATTTTGCTAATATTAGAAATTTTTCAAAAATTTAGAAAAATATTCTAGAAATATCAAAAAAATTGAAATGTAAGAAAATTGATTTTTATTCAAAATATGAGAATACCCCTTTAAAGAGAAAATTTTATTATAATATATAAAATAAATTTTGTTATAAGCTGCTATGCAATGCTATAATGCTTATGTTATAATAATAGTTAAGTGCCCAAGTCGAGAAGCTTACGGTTTTGGGACGAGAACTGAAACGCAAACAACGACAAGCGCAAATGCAAGCCCGAGGTTTAGTAGAAGAAAGAGCCGACTTTTTAGCTCAGCTACAAGACCAGAATCGGGAACTTATAAATCTTCGGGGACGACTCGGCATGGCTAAGAAAGAAAATGAGGATTTGAGTAAATTGCAAGGCTGTCCCGATTTAACGAACAAAGCGATTTATGACCTAGACGATCCTGATAGACCTAGATTTACGACCGCCGAGCTAAAAGAGATTTTGCACGAACGGAATGAATTGAAGGCAAGAGTTTCGGATCTCGAAGATGAATTGGAACTGTATCGACCAAAACCTGAAATGTAAGTTGTTAAACAATAGAAGCTTTATATACATATATAAATCGCCAAATCGTAAAATGTATTCAAATTACGTTTGCATTCTTCAGTCCTGAAGATGACAAAGACGCACCCGTTCAAGGACCGCTCCCTTATGAACCAGATGATGCACCATGGAAAAAATCCTCTGAATCTGGCATTCGTAAATTGTATGTATTTATGTATTTTTATTTGTTCACACGTGTGTATGTGTGGTATATTTTTAAAGTATATTAATTTTACAGCTTCCGAAAGATATTCTCCGAATCTAGCAGCAGTTTTCTCGGAGGTAGCAGCCCTAGACGAAGTCTTTCTAGTCTTTCAAAGATGGCCCTATCTGGTACCAGTACCTGTGATACGTCTATATAATGCTTTCTTAAAAATACATTGGATAATTTTAAGTAACCAATCGAAGATGATAACCGAAGACAACGTCGCTTAGGACTAGACTTTTTATTTACATGATTAATATATCATATTCTGACTGCTCGATACACATATACGATTTTACATAGACAGTTTTAACGTAGATATGAATTTCTGTAAAGATAGTCTAGATATTATTGAGACCTGATTCATAGTAGATAGATGTGCATGCAATGAGCGAACAGGAAATACTAGATTTGTATAAACCTATAAAATGAAAGAAGAGACATATATGCATGTATATATTTGTATAGCTGTAAAAAAAGGGACAATGTGTATTTAGCTGCACGACCTTGATACATCATGTAACTTCTCTCAATTTTTCTATTTCTCCTTAGACGTCAAATTCATTGAAATTCATACGTAGAATTCATAATGCATGTAAGAAAACCATATAATAGTGATATAATTAGAAACAAACATCCTAGTTTTCTTTCAAAATTACTAGGTACGTGTAGTTTTAAATGTGCATTGATGAGATTCTAATTGTATGTCTAATGTGAAACAGGTCTCGCTTTATATGCAGATATACCAAATATTATCAGATATCCAATTATTGTTTATTATTATTATTATTAAGCTTTTAAAGATGTTTATGTTTTTCGAAAATTTTTTTATTCTATTGACAATATTAACGAACTATAATGTACTCTGTTTAATTTTGCATTAAACGCAATTTTTACAGTAAATTCTGCATTGCAGAAACCACAGCTTGTAAGCTTTTTTAAATCTTCATTGTGTCGAAATGCATTTATTATGCGATTAAAGCATATAATATCTGAATTTGTATTTATATTTTTATCTTTTATACATTGTTCATCAATGACGTATTCTATATTCAATTTTTTATCTCATTTATTATATTAATTGTGGACATGATATTGAATCCGATATATTTCATAATCTGTGCCATATGTTATTGATGTAAAAATAAATGAGAGTATTTTCTTTTCATGTTGTAATTGTAAATATACTCATAAACATAAAACGATTTAGATATTTATTTAAATATGTGATACATTCACATAGAATTATATCTTTCATGAATATATATATAAAATATATATTAAAGAAAATTGTCAACATATATCTATATATATTCAAATAATAAAAAAAATAATAAAGCAAATGTTGCTATCTTATGAGAATATCTAAATTAAAATTAATAAGTAATTAAAATTTTTTTTGCAATGTCATATAACAAGAAGGAGTTAGACAATTTCCGAATGCCAAAGAATTTTACATTACATTACAAAAGATTTGTTGCAATCTATGTTACCTATATATTAAGATTAGCTCTCCATAAATACAAAATAACTGTGTTACATGTAGTGCCTATTTCAATATTACTTATTAATTCTTGAGCGATTTAGCAAAGTATTTCAATAATAAAACGAAAAAGACGAGTTCAAATATATAGCTCAAATATATAGAGTTATATATAGTTCAAATTATAATACAAATTGTAATAAATAAAACGTAATGATTTACACGTAGTGCAATCCTTACAACTATGATAAATGAAACACTACTAATCTGTTTTGTAAATCTGAAATATTAAAATAATATCAAATATATTAAAAAAAGAAAACATTAGCTACTCCAATTTCATTGAAAAATTAGCTACTCCATTTTGTAATGTAATGGAATGACATACATGCATATCAGTATTTTATCCATTTTATATAAAATAGTATATTCTCAAGAGAAATGTTTTGTGAGTATATCTTTTAAATGTAAATTGAATTTATATTAATAACTTTATTTTATTCCTGTATAAATAAGAGAAAAAGATTCGTTTATATTAGTATATACATTTTTAGATTTTTATACTAGCAAAATAGCCAAGGCAGTAATGAATTAAACTTTTTGAGAATAAAAGCGTCGTTTCAGGATTAAATAAGATTGAGGCATTTTGTTGCTTCCATGGCTATGTAAACAAATTTTCATTGACCAATGCAATAATTTTTAGAATTGTTGAATATCTTTATACAATATATATAAATATGCAGATAGATTTACCCCTTTCCGTACATACTCAATGTAGCATCGTATATGATTTCAAAGTAATTCTAGATGTAAAATCAGAAATAAAAAAAAATAACATGAATGTGACACAAGAAATATTATCCACG